AAGGATCTGAAGAAAATTCAGGGTCATCTCATGGTGACCTTTCAAATAAAAATATTCATGTAAATTTTGACCAATCAGAGAGATCGTACTTAAGCCACATTCGAGAAAACAAATATAGAAGTGAAAGTAGCTGAGGAGAAGATCTTAGCGTATCGTACAAAACAAAGGGCTAAAAAACAAGACAAAAGCAGGTACTTCTGATATTACTGTACAGAAAAGACTGTACCTTCCATGGACGGGCTTCAGGAACTAGGTCACGATTTTTCAATTCGTGTATCATCATGCCTTTCCCCTCTGTAACTGAATTCCGAGATACTTTCCAATTCTCAAAAGTAAGTATTTGATTGGATAATTCAAAGGTCACCAGGAGATGACCCTGATGGGGTTTCTTCAGATCCTTGTGTAGCGATCTATGTGAGCGGATCAAAAGATCTGATTTTAATCAGATTGGAAATTTTACACCATCAGATCAAGTATTCTATTGCTGGGAAGTTCTCTTTTGACACTGTAGGAAAGTTTATACTGTTTAGAGAGAAGTTACTGTAAATCAACTTGATTTAGCGTGCAAGAAATTTTTGCAAGGTTTGCGACTGCCTCGTCATCATGAATATTCACCGTGAACCTGTCCTTGAGCTCTCTGTAACTATTGAAATCTATGAAAAAAAAGACTTGATCGCGAAAATTAATCGTCGCAAATGAGTTTACCCTTAGTATATTGCCGCGAATAAAAGTTGGTTTACAGTATTCCCCTTTGCTATTCATTTGTTTTGATTAATCACATTTTAATGCAATTTATACACAGGAAAAATGTCCACATGTGTGAAACATATGTTTGGTTTCACACGTGTTCAACACATGTTTTATACATGCAATACATGTGTGTAAATAAACACATGTAAAATATGTGTTTCATTTATATGTAAAACATATATAATATACACATGTTATACACCTGTGAGATAATATATATGTTAAACACATGTTTTTCATCACACATGTATAACACGTATTATATATATGTAATATATGTGTGCGAAAATACAGATGAAATATGCATGTTTAATTTATATAAAATATATGTGTATTCATATACATATGTTATACACATGTTAAGTTTTATCTCATATGTGTATGTACATTAATTCAAAAGAATTTGTAAATGTTAGTAAAATTTCACTCATGTAAAGTTTTACTTTGTTCATCCCCCCCTCCCCCCTTTCCCTTCTAAGAAAAAACTTTCACAATTTTTTTTTCTGTAATAATGCATTTATCAGACAAAATTGAAAAGAATGAATTCATTTTCTTTTCATTTTAAATCTTTTGGGCTTGGCTTACTTCTTGAGTAAAATTAAAATAATTCCGTATTTGTCTCCGGATTTTGTCTTTTATCGAATGAAAATGTACGTCATTTTTGACGTCACTGCTGCAGCAGACGTGCTGGGTGTATTGGAAAGGTAAGTGATCTCCAAACAATTTTTAAAAGACTTTTAATTCATATTGTTTAAATATCATTTCATTATAGTTACAGGTGCGTATGAACTTTCTATATACATATAATACTCTTATCATTGTGAATTGTCATGCATTTCGTAAACCTAACGATAGTGATCTGCAAGTAATTTTGGTGAAAAATGTTTCTGACTGAATGAAAGCAACTGGAAGTTAATGTAAATATATATTATGTGTATGTATAAAAAAGACCCTTCTTTTTTTTATACATACACATATTATATATTTATATTAACTTCCAGTGCCCGTGAATGTAAGCGGTTACATGTTAGGCTAAAGGCATTACTATTTTGTATAATTTATATACATGTAAGTCATTTTGGATAAATTTGTTTCTGAATGAACGTTAACATTACATGTTATAGGCTATTTTTTAAAGGCATTATTGGTTTTCCTTTTGTTACGTACTGATATGAAAGTGAAAGTAGAAACCTTGAAACCATTGTGACTGTCAGTTGGTGTTTATGTATGTTGAGATGGCTGTCAAGTCGATTCTTTCATCAACTTAATAACAAGTGTTTGTTTTTATGGCCTATAGATGCATGCAGTAACTTGAGTTCAGTGTCACATTACTGCGTCTAAAAAGCCCAAAGCTGATAAGACTGGCGATTGATCCTAAAGCTGATTTGACAGATGATTGCATCATCGCAATATTAAAGGTAAAAATAAATACTTGCAATAAAAAATCAAAGTAAACATCTGTAATGACTCCTTCATCACATGACAAAATATTTCTTGATACATTGTAATTTCTTTTTGTTCCTTTATAATTCTACATTATACATTGGCGTCGGAAGCAAATTGAAAGTGGGGGGGGGGGGGCTAAGTGTAACAAAAATATCCCAAACACCAGTACCAAAAATTTTCTTCTAAACACCAACACTTTTACCAATTTTAACCTATACTAAGACATTTCTGTGGAAAGTGGGGGGGGGGGGCTAAACTTTAAGATATGTTTGTCTATACTAAGTATATATTTGGAAAAAAAAGTAGGGGGGGGGGGAGCTAAGCCAACCCTAGCCCCCCCCGGTTCCGACGCCTATGTTATATTGTTTGCACGACTTTATAAATTAATAAGTCCAACTCAATACTACAATGATTTTATTCTTTATTATAAAACAGTTTTAATCCAGTGCACTTTTAAAATATGGAAAGTATGAATAGAATTTGCTGGCTTTAAAAGCTATGAAACTGGTACATGTACTGTAAATGACTTCAGGGGGGAGGGGGGGTATTGAATTTTTGAATTTCAGTTAAAAATTAATAATAACAGTGACATCCAACTTTCAAGGTACAAGAGCATGTGTAATTGTGTATATGTGTTGATTGTTGAAAGTACATCAGCTAGCTAATCCATTGGATATTTACATCTATTATGTACCGGTATTCATTACCTGACATTTATTATTTTTTTCCAACACTAGAGAACATAGTTTCTTGTAAAATGTAAAAAAAAGACTATTAAGAACCTACAAACATGTACTCTCTCTTTTTTGTAGTCGTAGTTTTGTAGTTTAATTAATTAAGTTTTAGTTATGCTTAGAAGATATCTACTGCGTGAATATTTGTTTTACAGGTTCAATATACAGTCAGCGTCTCATAAGAATAAATCCCAAGATCCAAGACTTGCTTAAAAGCTTAATTAAGGTAACTACACACTGTTAAATAAACTTTGTTATATCCTTCCCAACAAAGTTTGGGATATTATCCTGGAATCACGTACAATGTCTGTTTTTTTTGCCTGTCTACTTGTCTGTAGATATTTTTTGTCCAAAAATAAAATATATATGTTCTTCTTAATTTTTGGCAATATGAATTAGTAATACTGTTTGAACATTCCAAATTTAATTGTCAAAATAAAAAAAAAAAAAAAAATGATTTTTATGACTTTATTATGAAATATATCTTCCAACAGTGTAATTGTCTTGCAAATTACATCATAAGATTCCACTAAACACCTAGTATAGCATATATAACATTAGTTTTATCTCTTATCATATCTCTGTTGGTGAATTGGGCATACATTAATTTGTTTGCTGAACTTTAATATTACTTGTAGAATTGATTTTGTTATTTAAGAATTGTTTTATTTTTACTTTTGAAATTTTTGTAGAGACCATTCTGTGCCACAAAGAAATTGTTCAGGAAAGGGAGAAATGGTGGATTTGCATTTTGGGTACAGTTCAAAGAGAGTTCAAAATGGTCAAGCTCATGGAAGATCAGAGGGAGGACAACTGAATAAAACTGAAAGATACAAAAGGAAAAAGAACAAGAAAATATAAGAAATAAAAATTGGGAGGATGTACAAAATCTTGTCTGCATTTGACCTGTAGAGATTTTATTTCCATTCTTATTTGTATGCTGTAATATCAAATAACTTGATTTTTCATAAATTTACAATAGAGACTACATGACAAATGTTATATGTGATATTTCAATTTTGCTTTGGACACTTTCATGTCAAATCATATAAATTATAAAAAAGTACATGGACTAATTATGTTATTCATTTGTACATGTATGCATGTTTAACTATTTAATCATTTTGTGGAAATCTTATAATTGTACTCAACTTAGAATATGTAAAATATATGTATTTTAAATGCTACTGACTTGTTTGTATACTTTCCTGTTTAGAAAGTACACTGAAAAATAAGTTATTTCTCTTGATGAAAATAATTTATCAAAAAAGTTGTGTAAGCATTTTAAGATATTAATTTTCAAATATTTAACCCATGAAGATAGATCATTGGAATATGATGGATTTTCATCTAAAGCAGAAATATCTGATTTTTAAATGTGTACAAGAATGTGTTTTTCCTTGTGATAAATATTGAAAGAGAACACATGTAACTATTTCATATGATTTACATATGCTGCCCTTTTCATATGATTCACATGTGGACAGACATGAAAAAAGTATAAAAATGATAATAATACAAAGTAATAATATACACGTATAATTCACATATAAAGTATAACATATATAAAACACATGTTTAACACATGTTTCATATGTATAAATATACAATGTGTTTATTTTTACACATGTTAAACACATGTGAAACATATGTTTAACATGTGTAAAAATAAACACCCTATACATGTGTGCTCCTTTTATGTGTTTTACATGTGTAAAAAATATATGTTAAACACATGTTTAACATATGTTCAACACATGTGGACATTTTTCCTGTGTAGGTCAATTAAAAAAAAAATATACAAGGAGTTTTAATGTAAAATGCTAAAACTACCTTCATAGCATTTATCTACCTTCATAGCATTTATCATGTTTATTGGTAAGATAGACCAGTATATAATATATATTAGATACTTATAGATATAGATAATAGATCATTACGCATAAATGTTATTTAAGGAGTCCAAGTCTTAGAGGGAATGTGATGGGTTTTCTGCTTGACCAGCAAGTGACAATTGTGACTGTAGTTAGTAATGGCAAGTGCTGAGCAATGAAATAGATGTACTCTATGATTTGCTACTGAGTACTGAACTTTCCATACTGTTCATCCTTGATCATTGCCATTCAACTCCTTGGGCTTGTCATATTTTGAAATTTTAGTAATTTTCCCCTCCTTTTTATAGAGTCAATAAATATGCCAAAACAAGGTAAAAGAAAGAGCTATCGGTCCAGGTTACAGCAAATGAGATTGTATGCCACTCAAAGAGCTAATGAAGATACAGAAATGGGGTATGATACAAAGCTAAAAGTAGACACTGAAGAAAAGTATGATCCTACCATGATGCAAGATGGTAAAAAGCAAACTGATCAAAATGAAGAAAAGAATTCTAATGATAGTTTTCATGACCCCGCAAATGAAAAAGATTTCCATTTGACATCACAGCAGTCAGAAACAGATCAGCCATCAAAAGATGAGTGGAAAGCAAAGAGGAAAAAAGAATCAACAAGGAACAGAATGGCTAAGTATAGACAAGGAATGTTAGATGAACAGAAAAGAGAAAGAAAAGACTTGGATAAAAAAAGCAAACAAGACAAAAGAGAACACTTACCTGAAGAAATCAAGGAAAACATCAAGGCATCGGATCGAAAAAGAAAACAGGACAAAAGAGAACACTTACCTGAAGAAATCAAGGAAAACATCAAGGCATCAGATCGAAAAAGAAAACGGGACAAAAGAGAGCAGTTACCTGAGGAAATCAAGGAGAACGTAAAGGCATCAGATCAAAAGAGAAAAAGAGACAAAAGAGAGCAGTTACCTACAGAAATCAAGGAGAACATAAAGGCATCAGATCGAAAAAGAAAACGGGACAAAAGAGAGCAGTTACCTGAAGAAATCAAGGAGAACATAAAGGCATCAGATCAAAAGAAGAAAAAAGACAAAAGAGAGCATTTACCTAAAGAAATCAAGGAAAACATAAAGGCATCAGATCAAAAGAGAAAGAAAGATAAAAGAGAGCAGTTACCTACAGAAATCAAGGAGAACATAAAGGCATCAGATCGAAAGAGAAAAAAAAACAAAAGAGAGCAGTTACCTATAGAAATCAAGGAGAACATAAAGGCATCAGATCAAAAGAGAAAAAAAGACAAAAGAGAGAAGTTACCTATAGAAATCAAGGAGAACATAAAGGCATCAGATCGAAAGAGAAAAAAAGACAAAAGAGAGCAGTTACCTGAAGAAACCATAGAAATCATCCAGACATCTGATAGAAAAAGAAAACAAGACAAAAGAAGAAATTTACCTGATAAAGAAAAGAACATTATAAAAGCAAAAGAGCGAAAACGGCTGTCCAATTATCGTCAAAATATGCCTTCTGATTTGAAAGACTCTGTCAGAATATCAAATAGAAACAAAAAGAAAGACATAAGAGAGCAGTTACCTGAAGGAACCAAGCAGACCATAAAAGCATCAGAAAGAAAGAGAAAACAGGACAAAAGAGAGCAGTTACCTGAAGAAATCAAGAAGACCATGAAGGCATCTGAAAGAAAGAGAAAACAGTACAAAAGAGAACACTTACCTAATGAGAAAAAAAATGAAATCAGAAGAAGGGATCAGCAGAGAAAATCAGAAAATAAAATACTAAACCTTCAAAATCCGTATCAGACATTCCTTCACAAAATCAAATCTGGACCCTCGTTTGTATGCATATGTTGTAATCGGCTTCTCTATGAACAGACTGTAAATAAGATTACCAAGAATACTTTCAAAACAGTTGATCCAGATGTTTTGAATGAGGCACTGCCAGACTGGTGTTTTGATCAGAAAGAGATTAGTTACATATGTAAAACATGTATTCTTTCACTACACAAGAAGAAAATACCTGCACAAGCAACAATAAATGAACTTCACCTCACTGAACTCAAGGAACCTTTGATATCATTAACTGATTTTGAGGCCAGACTAGTTTCCCAAAGACTCATATTCATGAAGATACTTGCCCTACCCCGTGGAAGACAAAAAGCTATACACGGTACTGTGGTCAATGTTCCTGTGGATAGTTCACAGACATGTACTTTGTTACCCAGACTTCCCACCAACTCTGGACTCATTCCAGTTAAACTGAAAAGAAAGCTTGAATACAGAGGTCATGTTGAGTTTCAGCATATATCTCCAGACAGAGTAATATCATCATTACTGTTTTTGAAGGAAAACAATGAATTTTACAAAGATGTTCCTGTCTTAGAAAATTGGCAAGATTTGGCTGCTGGAGATAATCCATCATTGTGGGAAAGACTGACAGAGCCACATACTAAAAAGAATGAATCAGTGTATGATGACAATGGGAATCATGATCAGAGAACAGAACCACATAATGAGGAAGACAATACTCATGGTAGTGATGGAGCTTATGAACACAATACATTAGGAAATGACAGTGATGAATGGTCAGGAGAGGATGATGATTTGTTGAATGCTGAAGAAATATCTCAAACAAGAGGCATTGCTTATGATACATGTATTCAGCAAGAGTACAAAGGAAATGAAATTATATCAATTGCACCTGGTGAAGGAAAAACTCCTGTGTCACTTCTGACTGATGACAACAATGAAGTTCTTGCCTTCCCTAAACTGTTTCCAGATGGAAAATTTGGATTTGATACAAAACGTAAAATTAAATTATCACTCAGTAGATACATTAATGCCAGACTTTTACATAGAGATGGCAGATTTGCTCGCAACTCGGATTATATTTTTTACACACAACACATTAGAGATCTTCAACACATCAATGGTTCCATATCTGTAGCCTTGAGGAAGGCTTCATCTTCAAAATTGAATGCTGGACTTGCAAAGGATCCATCACACCTATCAGCATTGATTTTGAAAGATCATGGCTACAAATTCCTTACTCAAGTCAGAGGTTCTCCAGCATACTTTGACAAGATGTTGTTAGAACTACTTGCCTGTGTTAAGCAGCTGGGATCATTCACATGGTTTATTACACTCTCAGCAGCAGATCTGCAATGGCCAGAAGGGATACAGATAATAGGAAGACAATATGGACACAATTTCACAGACCAGGATGTGAAAGACATGACATGGGATGAGAGATGCAGATGGATCAGACAAAATCCAGTTACTATTGCAAGACATTTTGATTATAGACTAAAGCAGTTCATCAAAAATGTCCTTCTCAGTCCACAGCAGCCTGTTGGGAAAGTCACCATGTACATGTACAGAATTGAGTTTCAACAGAGGGGATCTCCCCATGCACATATGGCATTCTGGGTGGAAGGAACACCGGACTTTGAGAATTCCACTGATGAAGAAATCAGAAATTTCCACGATCAGTATGTCAGCTGTGATATACCAACAGATGATGAAGAGCTTTGTGAATTGGTGAAAAAAGTTCAGAGTCATGTACATTCTCCTTCATGCAGGAAACCAGGCAAAAACTGTAGATTTTCATTTCCCAAACCACCAACAGATAGAACCATTATAATTAAAACAGTTAAAAAGACAGATGAAAATCAACAAGAGCCATCCAGTGAACCAGCCAACATGACAGATGCTCAAGTGAAAGAAATACTATCTCGTATATGCCAAACTGGATGAGCTGGGAGAAGATATGACCACAGAGCATCTACTGAAAGAAATCGGGCTTCCAGAAAAAATTTACTATTCTGCACTCTCTCGGAGCAGAAAAACAGATGCTATTATTATGAAACGACAACCAAGCCAGAAGTATGTAAACAACTACAACCCTACACTTCTTAAAACTATGGAAGGCCAATATGGACATTCAACTTGTCTGCAACCCGTATGCATGCATCATGTATATTGCTTCATATATAAGCAAAGCAGAGAGAACATTAGGAGATCTCCTGAAGTCTATAAGTAAGGAGTGTTCTAACATGGATATTACACGACAGCTAAGAACTGTAGCAAGCAAGTTCCTGACCCATAGAGAAGTTAGTGCTCAGGAGGCAACTTTTCGAGTGTTGTCACTTCCATTGTGCTATTTTGACAGGCAAAGAATATTTGTTTCAACTAATCCACCTACAGAGCGAGTGAAATTATTGAAACCCAGAGCTGTCATAGAACAAATGGAAGATGATGATGAAGATATCTATCAAGCTGGTCTTCTTGACAAATACTCTATGCGACCACTTTATCTGTCAGACATATGCTTAGCAGAATTTGCTGTAACATACACAACATCCTACTCTAATTTTGATTCTGAGGACACAAATCCAGAGGTGATTGGTCTAGCGGATGACCTGGAATCCCCACACTACATCACATTAACAGATGGGAAAAAAATGGTGAGGAGAAAAAAGACAGCAATCATACGAACGCACAAGGTCTCACAGAAAAAGAATCCTGAGAAATATTCCTATGCATTATTGTTGCTATATGTCCCATGGAGAAACGAGGAAAAAGACATTGGACCTTGTGAATTTGAAGGAGATTTTTTCCAGAAAAAATTGACAAAGTACACTGAACAAATCAACGCTATGATGCTGAGATTTGAAAAACATGCACAGTTAATAGAAGAAGCACTGGATGACATCGAAGAAAATGGTCCTCCTGATCCTGATGCTTGGGGACATCTGGCACCAGAAACAGTGCAAGCAAACCTTGATGCTGCTAGAGAAGGTTCTTTGGATGATGAAAATGCTGATTTTATGGATCCAGGAAGAAACAGAGTTCCTGTTGGAGACCCATCACTTGAATCACCCCAAGTCATTTATGAAGTACTAGCGTCCAGATTGACAGACCACCAGTGGAGAGAGCATATCCACTCGCTGAATGAGGAGCAAACTCTGGTTCACAATTTCTTTGTCACATGGTGTACCAGGTTATGTCAAAGTAAAAAGATGCCTCCAAAACCTGATGCTTTTCACATATTTGTCAGCGGCGGAGCAGGAACTGGCAAGTCTCATCTCATTAAAACCATTCAAGAATCAGCTTTCCGTCTACTCCGACCTGTCACGGAAACTTCAGATGAAATAACAGTCCTTACAGCAGCTCCTACGGGCACAGCAGCTTTTAATGTGTTTGGCATGACCTTACACTCTGCTTTTCTGTTGCCTGTAATGAAGGGGTTTTCAACATATAAGCCTCTCTCACAAGAAAAATTGAACACACTCAGATGCAAACTTAGTTCACTGAAGGTCATTATTATAGATGAAATATCAATGGTAAGCGCTGACATGCTTCTGTTCCTACACCGCCGTCTTCAAGAAATCACAGGGAGTTCTGAAATATTTGGTGGACTCAGCATCTTCACCTTTGGAGATTTATTTCAACTACCTCCACCTGCACAGAGAGCTCTTTTTGATCAACCTTCTGACGAGTTTGCAAGATTATATGGATCTCTATGGAAAAATCATTTTAAAGTTGTAGAACTTCAACAGATCATGAGACAGAGAGATGACTTATCTTTTGCCAGATTGTTGAACCGTGTAAGAAGTGGACAGCACACAAATGATGATGTATCGACACTGTGTACAAGGGAAACAAATGACCCTCCTGAAGACATCCTCCATGTTTACACCACAAACAAAGCAGTAGACAATTACAACAACAAGAAACTGGAATCACTTTCAACCTCAAAATTTGTTGTGAGAGCACAAGACTCAAAGAAGGATGTTACAACAGGTGCCATTGCTGTAAATCTCTCAGATAAGGCAACAGAAACAGGAGGCTTACGCTCAACTCTTCATTTAGCTGTAGGAGCTAGAATTATGCTGACATACAATGTTAGTACAGCTGATGGTTTGGTAAATGGAGCTAAAGGTACAGTGAAAGGATTCATACCAACACCGCCAACTACTGCAGATGACAACTACACACCAAATTTTATTCTTATTGAATTTGACAACCCAAATATTGGACATCAGACCAGGACTTTATACGGACGCCTTCTTCAGCATCAGTCAACAGTTGTACCTATTGTTCGACAACAGGTTCAAGTGCAGTTAGGCAAACACTCAACTGTGCATGCAGTCCGGTTCCAGTTTCCTCTCACGCTTGCTTGGGCAACCACTATTCATAAGGTGCAAGGTGAGACATTGAACAGCATTGTTATACACTGCAATGGCCAGTTCCAGCCAGGACAGCTCTATGTTGCTTTAAGTAGAGTTAAATCATTGAATGGCCTGTATCTTGTGAATTTTGACAGCCAAAAAATCAAAACCAGTGCCAAGACCATTGCTGAAATGGAAAGGCTCATAAACTCCATGAAGTTCTTTCCTCCTGATACCCTATCATATCTACCAGATTCCAACTCGATGATCAGCATATCAGCAGTCAATGCACAATCATTGCACAGACATTTCGTCGATGTTATCAACCATCCATCTGCCAGATCTGCTCATATTTTAGGAGTTACAGAGACATTCTTAATGCCGTCTGACAGCGACAGTGATTATGGTTGGAAAAATCACCATATGTTCCGCAAAGACAGACACCACACCTTGGAAAATACAACTCCTCCAACATCTAGAACACAGCATTCTGCTCATGGAGGTGTAGCTATGTATGTTAGTGATCATTATTGTGTAGAATTTATTTGCCAGGTCTATCATATACCTGTTGAGTGCATTGCTCTTGTATTATTTAACAGGAATTCATCTTTGAGATTCTGTTTCGTTGTCACATACAGACCTCCAAATCAATCATTAGACATTTACCTAACCCATATGGACAATGTTATGAAGAACATTCCTCATCTAAACATACCAACTCTTATTTCTGGAGATTTCAATGTAAATCTCCTGCAAGCGTCACTGTCGCAGAAACTACTGGAAACATTCTTTGCATCCTATGGCTTCCAACAAATCATTGACAGTCCAACACATATCTCTGGATCCCTTTTAGACCATATGTACTGCAATTTTGCCTTTTCTACAGATGTATACAAGACAGTGCAGCCAACTTATTTTTCTCAGCATTCCTTTGTCCAGATAATATTTCCTCAATAAAAATGGACTCTCATTGATCATCATTAATAGATTTATATATCATTAAGACATTTACAACACTACTTAAAGAGTTATATGTATTTATTTCTTTTAAAGGAATATTAAGGTAGGTTTGAAATATGGCTTATTAGATGATTGTAAAATTACACATTCAAATTTTGATAGGATGTGAAGAATTTTTAAAATAGTTTCTGTGCTTATGACTCTTGAAGGAGTCTTGTTTTAGAACTTTCAATTCATCTATTGCAAATAAGTATCATAAGTGTCATCTTGGCAATTTTCAGCAAATTTTACATAAAAGTAGAAAATACACCTTGCTCACCTTTGAAACTTTGGTGATGCTAATCTTTACCAGATTTCTCTGTATATAATACTTATTGTGGCCATGCCCTACCAGTCCCCACCCCACCCACCCAAGAGGTCATGGTTTTAACAATTCAGAATCTGTACTACCCCGGGATGCTCCCGTGTAATTTAGTATCAGCTTTTCTGACCTATTGATTCTTGTTCTTGAGAAGAAGATTTATAAAGATTTTTGCCAATACATGTTTATTTCAATGCAAAACTTTGAATCCTTGATGTGGCCCCACCCTACCCCTTGGGGTCATGATTTTGACAATTGAGAATCTACACTACCTCAGAATGCTCCAAAATAACTTTCAGCTTTTTGGGCCCATTGGTATTTGATAAGATTTTTGAATGACCCAACCTTATTTTTGTCATCTCTTGATTATCTACCCTTGTAAAAATTAAAACTCCCTATTACCCAAGGATGATTTGTACCAAGTTTGCATAACTTATAAAAATGATCAAATTTTAAAAACTAAAAAATTTTTTATTTTCCAAATGATAGTTGACAGCTTAAGATATATCTTGAAATTGGAGTTATATCTTATGGTTAATTTGTTGACCCCCAAGCCTCCTTAAGTGTGTAACATCAGATTCTTAGATTCAAATAAATTCCTAGTGATATATGATGACTTCTATTAGATCAACCCATTATGTACAAAATATATAATATACAGACAAGTTTCATTCACTTGCACATAACCTTTCCTTTCTCTTTCGATGGCAAAGGTTATATATGTTGATTGATTGTAATTTTTAAAATGGGCAATTTAATTAAAGACATAAATCCAGATTATTAGTATTTCTCTTATGATAGGAAAGATTATATATGTTGATTGATTGTAATTAAAATGAACAATTTCATTAAAGACATAAATCAATATTTTTAATGCATTTTCATGTGACTTCACTTTGTTAAAACTGTATACATTTCATTATACCCCCGCTTGAAAAGTGGGAGGGTACAGCTGTATATAGTAATTGGTATTTCCGTCCGTCTGTTACGCTTTGGGTTACCCATCTCTTATCCGCAACTCCTCTCATACCATTGAAGGAAATTAATGAAACTTTTCACAGAACCTTTATTACATATTGCCATTGTGCACCTCTTGCTTTACTTTTAGATCTGACATATATTTTGGATTTTCCAGAGCAAAACATGGATACTGCCATTATATTCAAGTGGGAGGCGGGGGGTATTATTTAGTGAGCTCATTGCTCACAGTACTTCTAGTTTTAACCAATCTTCTCGAGATTCAGTGGTATCTAGGTATTTAA